TTGCTGCTTCATTTAGATGAAGATTCTTCTGCGGGTGATTCATTGGAGATGTGGATGATGGAGGATTCTGGTTGGGTTAGACAATTTGTTGTCAATGTGAGGCAGCTTCGTGCACCTATATGCTTGGCCACGAATGATGAAGTTATGCTACTGTCAGCACATTCTAATGTTGGCCTTGATCATATTCTTTCTTGTGACCTCAAGACCTTGGAGTTGACTGACCATGGAGTTGTGGAGGGCATATCTCTTGCCTCTACCTATACGCCGAGCCTGGCCTTACTTGGGGAAGGAAACGAGTGGTTTGAGGACCTCTGAATGGTATGATGTTTAACATTGTAGTTATAGTATTTCTCAATTTGTTTTTGGTTTTCATGAGACACTATTTGTCCTGTTTGATTCAGTTTATATATTTTGATGGCTCCTTTTTTACCATTGTGCTTTCAGCATCTCAGTCATAGAGTATGAGTGTTTTCTTGGTTGGAATGGAATGTGTTTTATTAGTAAAACAGTATCCAATCTGAATTTAGGACCTTTATGAAACAAGTAAGTAACATTTAAAGGAAAAAGCATGCTACTTGTACATTTATAAAATAAAGCATGCTATGCTGGATTTAGTATCATAAAATATAGAGAAAGGTAAAAATCATAACCCCTTGTCATTCAAAATATTAAGATTCTCTCTGTAATTGTTTAAATATTCTTAATGAATCTTTTTTTTTTTTTTATTATGATTTGTTAAGATATTTAAGTCTTTTCATTATCATTCCTGGGCATTTCATTATCATTTCTGTCCTCTTCTTCCCTACATACCCCATGAAAACAGAATGCTACTGAATGAATTGATTGTTGACATATTCACCAGATTGCCTGTTGAATCGCTTATCTGATTCACGTGCCTGTCCAAGTTGTGGTCTCAGGTTATTGTTAGTTCTCAATTCTTCCTCGACCACTTTCACCATGTTAATCAAACAAATAAGAAGTTTCTCCTTCAGATTAAATGCAAAAGATCTCTGCAGCTTCAATTAATCTCAGATGTAGAGATATTGAACTCGTCCCTGCATGGTTGGTGGTTGTTTAAAATTGTTGGTAGCTGCAATGGCTTGCTACTATTTTTGTATGATTGTCACTGTTTATTTGTTCTAAATCCTTCCATCAAAAGACTCAAGTTTCTCCCCGATCCTCTTCTTTGAAATTTCTACCTTGGCTCCCCATGTGATGTTGATGTTGGTTTTGGTTATGATTCCTTCACCAGTGATTTCAAAGTGGTGAGAATTCTTAGTGAATCTCTTTCTAAAAGATTGACACAAGTGCAAGTTTACTCACAAATAAAAAATTCATGAAAAGTTGATAGTAATTCTACTTACCCTATAGGTTCATGCTACCTTTTTGGCAAGCATTCATTAGTTTACAACGGAGCATTTTATTGTTTTGTAAATAAAACAAAAGATAACAATGTCCAGAATTTGATCTTGCTGTTTGATTTCATCGAGGAGAGCTTTAAAGAGATTGCATTACCAGATTGTTTTGGGGAAGAAGAAGGTTTTTATAAAGTTCTCCGTGGCATGGGGGAGTTGAAGGGGGAAAATATCTTTCTTGGTGGATTGCTATTCCCAGGAATATTTCAACAAAGGTATTGCTCGGTTTGAAATATGGATGATGCCGGAGAATTCTGCTTGGAATAAGCAACTTCCAATGGAAGTTGGCCTCCAACTTGGCCCTTGCCAAGGGCTTTTATGGATGGGGATGAATGACCAAGTTGTGTTACTAATCACAAGGGGGAAGGGGATGGGTCGC